CAATCCATTATTATCATTATTATTATTATTAAAATTCTTCTTTTACTCTTTGGTAAGTTAAATGTTAGAGTCAAAGAGGAAAAGTGCCCATTGCTGGTCTCACCGTGTCTCTCTCCTGGTGCTGGTGCTGGTGTAGCTGCTGCTGCTGCTGCTGTGGTGGTTCTGGGAGTAATCAACCAGGTTCTCGTTTCCATAGTGACTGGCACTGGTCTGGAGACGCAGGCTCCGTCGTGACATCCTGGGCGACTCGTACACAGGAGCTATCTGGTGCTCTTTCTCAAACTCTAACGCTGCTGTTGAATAGCTGGAGCTGAGAGTGAGAGCGGACAGAGAAAAGCAGGAAGAACAGAAAGAGCGGGAATGTTAGAAAATTGGGAAGGAAAACAAAACTGTTCTGTGAAAGAAGGCATTTTATGACAGTTAATTACAAAGAGGGCGTTTCTTTTATCCACTGCATGGGAATCCTTTTGGAGACAAACAAGCCTCGAGAGTGCCTTTATGCATCAAATCAATACTGAATGGGGATATCCTGCCTTTTTACTCATGTCTGTCCCTCAGTTAGTCAACTTAGAAACACTTTTTAAAAAACAATAAACTAACCCAGTCCTTTTTACAGAGCTGTGATGCTTTTGTTCCCTGGAACTGGCAGAGCTCCTGACAGGAAGTGACTCACTCACCACGGAGAGAGAAATATAAGAACAGGCACAGAGTGTCTCTGAAAGTAAAATTAGACAAAAAAAAAAAACCCAGTAAACATCCAAAGTATGCGAGAAGGCTAAACACGAGACTCTTACTCCCCTCCCTGTAAAACCAACTGAAAGTCAGAACACACTATGAATGTTGTTTGCCGTGCTTCGCTGTGACTCACAGGGCCACACCCACCTGGAAGAGTAGGCACTGAGCCAGGACAACATTCAAACAACTGCAGACTACACTGGAACACTATGGAACTTGCTAACGCCTCTAGGCTGGTGCGAAAAGAAAATGCCTTAAAGTACAACTGTTCCATCTTTCTCTGTAATAGTAGAGGCACTAATGCTTAAACAAGCACCACAAACATGACTGTAGGGTCTGAATGACTCATCAAGGAACTCGATTATAACAAAACCCTCAGTGCAAAGTTTTTGCTACATCTAAAGAAGCGCTGGTGTGCTGGACTGGACTCATTTCAAGGCTTTAATAACAATATTTTTAAAATTTGTTTAGGCATTTAAGAAAATGTTTTCTTCTAAAAGAAATCTAATTTTAATATGACACACAAATGAAATGAAAGGGTTTTTTTTGACAGAATGTACAATATTCAAAAGGTGTCTCTTTTAAATATTTATTATTGCTGATTAATGAGACAAAAGCATTTTATTTCTCCTTTAATTTATGAAATAATCAATTAAATATTTGATTACAGCACGATCTGTAAAGTCTGTCCACAAGTGGGGAGGGTGGAGCTCTGGAGTGAGCCTCTCAATGGAGGACGGGGAACAAACTTCCTGTTACACTTCAACAAGGAAACTCTGTTAATGTGTAAACACGAGTTTTATGGCCTGTCCATATCTCTTGCAGAGCACACGTGGCATATGATTTCAGAGGAGACTGACCAAGCCAGCAGTATGTGCATGCATTTGTGCACGTTTACATCTTGTGCAGGTTGCTCTGTGTCCCTCCCTCGGTCTCTAAAACCCAGAGGATTACACACTCCCACTGAGAGCCAATTAAGTCCTTTCGTCCTCACTCTACCTCTCGCCTGCTGATCCAACTGGCCCTTCTTTGAACACATGACCACCGGGGCAGTATCCTGCTGATCTGAAATTAACCTATCTTCTACTGCAAAGCATATACACAGGATTGGTATCAAGGAGAGGTTTCTGTAAAACACCAAAAAGTAAAAAAATGTTACAAATCTTTCAAAGCAAAATAGGTTTTAAAATGCTATAATGAGCACTGTCATTAGTGCACTAATTAGTAGGAGGCAAGATAAAAATCTACAGTTTTATTTGTGTACAGTTACATTTTTGAGTAAAATCCAAACTAGAATCAAAAGTTGGAAACATTTTTGTCTCAAATCATTGTCCACTTATGCCTACAGCACTGATATCCCTGAATAAGCATCTGTGCTGTGAAAATGACCAAACAGACCCAACAGAGCTTCAGTAGAAACTATAAGGACTCTGCTGGACACTGTCTAAACAAAGGCCTGAGAAAATAGTGCGTACCGTAACACAGGTAGGCTAAATATCAAAATAACAATCAGTTTTCCATCACACCTGCACCTCTTTTTATCTTATTCAAATTTGAAATTTAAATATTGGGAAACAGCTGCGTGGCAGTCGAGCATTTGCCTTTCCAAATCAACTGCGAGTCCCAAATTCTGACAATTCTCTTTTTTAAAGTGATCCAAAAATGACCAAAAGGAGTTAATCCAGTGATTCCGGTCCACAGCGAGAATGTCTCAATGCCACACTTCAACAGCTGCAACATGGAGTGGATAAAATGTTGCTTCCAGGTTACATTCTTATCAAAACAACTTCATTCCTATTTATACAAGAACTCACGCACACACAGAAGTGTGTTTTTCATACCAAAGCATAATGATTCAGGTTTGATTAGTAACGTTTCTGTGGGGTGTGGAAGCAAGTGTTACAGGGCAGATCAGGGTGTGTGCACGAGGAAACTGTCTGCATAGCCTACAGCCAGGTAGAAGCTTCCTAATAACCTTCTGTTCTACCTGGAAACCCCATGTGGGCATATTTTAACAGAACAAACACCATTTGGGTTTTTATAAAAACAAAGCTTTTACCTCCCAACAGAGCTGGTTACCACCCCCTCCTTTAGCAAATTTAAAAAAAGTTTAAAAACAAGCGATTCGTTTCATCGGGTATCCAAATTCATCCATGTGCCGCTCTCTCCCAGGCGGCTTCCACGGCCCACATCGGTGACAAAAATAGAGATGGACACAGCAAAGAAGACAAAGATGAAGAGCCATGCAGTACATTACAGAGAGAAGACACTTCCATCCTGACATTCAGCTTCCTGGAATCTCTCCTTACATAACACTAAAGCTTTATCTTCCCACACTCAGTGGGCGCAGCCAAACTTTCTTACAGCGCACAACTGCACATCCAATCTGATCAGACTGGACTCTACATTTAACCAGCTTAAGTTTGCCTTGTTGTTACTTTGGACATTTCTTATGCAGTCGAGCTGTTTATATTTGTTATAGATTACTAAAGCTCAGCCTTCAATGTCTGTGAAGGTTCTCAGTCATCCAGGTCATCGTAGTCAAAGGAGCTTGCAAAGAAAAGCGTCTGGACTTCTTTAAGTTACTTGAAGACGTTTCACCTTCATCCGAGAAGCTTCTTCAGTTCAAAGGTCAAATGGTGGGGAGTCCCAGATATAAACCTAGTGGGAGTTTCCCCCCACAGAGGGACAAAAGGACCCCCTGATGATCCTCTAATCGCCTGAGCCAAGGTGTGAAACTGGGTGTGGGTCCCAATCAACCAGAGTTTGAACTCACCCGAAACTCTGGTTGATTGGGACCCACACCCAGTTTCACACTTTGACTCAGCCTTTAATCAAGTAAAAATTACAAAATATATATTTTATGACATGACATTCATTCATCCGGGTGTAAATGTAGCTGAGTGAGTCTGTTTACTATGCATGATCAGTGCAAGGAACTTACAGCTCATACAGGAAACATGAGACGAAAGACAGGTCTCCACTGATCCCACTTATCAAAATAATCAACTGAAACAGAAAACCAATTGTTTCTTTAGGGTTTTTTGTTTTCTTTTATGACAGTGCAGAAGTCACAGCAGCTGCCAAAATAACTCAGGAAATTGTCACTTCTGGTTTCATCTTCATCTATCCAGTGATAGATGATCCCTCCACACCAACAGAAAAAAAGTTACTCCTGTGACATCACCACAGGTGAGTCTACACCCCCAGTGCTAGAATTTGTTTCCCATCTCTAAATAGCCTCCCACATGAAGCCTGCTTTGCATAGTGTATGCAAAAGTATGAAATCCCATCATACAAAATACAAAAGGAGACACTTTGTTGACACCAAGCAAATAAAATGAGCATATCCATTCAGTTATTATAAAAATAATAATTCCGAATACTGGAATGAATACATAAAGTCATTTTTGTGATCAAGCAAGTAAATGTCTGTAAGTAAATGTGGCCATCTTCACTACTAAAGAAGTTATGAGGGTTCAAAAATGCTGGCAGCAAATAAAAAATGACATAAATAAAACCCCAAAACGTATAAACCCATTAAAAGCCCCATGTTCTCCAAGGGCCTTTAATCTGGAAAATATTGATACCATCAAAGTCAAATTTTGCATGGTTTCATTAAAAACACTAAAAACTTACTGCACAAAAAAGAAAAAAAAAAAAAGATCAGCTGGGAGGCACTAATTAGTTTTTTTCCTTCGTTTTTCATCAACCTTGTTTAAAGTCCAGCAATGAATGATTTAGCCTACCTTGTTTAAGGGACATATGTGAACAGATGTAAGCTAAGGGCTAAAAGTTGTATTACACTGTAACGTTTGCCTAATTCCTTTATCACTTTTTAACTTCTTCTATAGTTTCTATAGTTTTTATGAGCCTTTATAGGAACGGTTAGCTTGTAAGACATTAAAACTATAAAAATGTAACAGTTGTAGTTTTCTAAAAGTAAAAGAAAAATGTCATTTTTACCAATGGCATTCAGACATCAAAGATATCTCAGTTTCATCTGCAAGAGAAAATGTGAACACAGCATAAAAGAGATCAAAGCAATTGTGATAAGTGCAGAAAAAAACACAGTTAAACACAGCAGGAAGTCAGCTGAAGTCTGCTGCAGTATGTCCAGTTAGTAAGAACCCTGCCCCATGATGGCTACCATTTGCACCCTCTCTGTCTAACACTAACACGCTTGCGCGCACACACACACACACACACACACATCTTCAACAGAGGTTATAAAAACCATTTGGGTTGTAAATCTCAGTGTGGAAACCACAAGTGTGGCTGCAATGCTTTGTCAAAAGCTTGCCAGGAGGTTTATACCCCAGCGCACACGCACATGCGCACACACACTATCATAAGAGGGGCATGCTGACCTGATTTAAACTTTTAGAAAAATGAAAAGCCCTAGTTAAAGTCGTACAAACAAATATTTTGTTAGTTGCCCAGTGCACACCTGAGTGTCTTAAGTACTGTCCTACCATGTGAAAGAACCATTTACATAGAACATCATTTTCGAAAGGAAAAAGGTGGAATCAGACATCAGATTTTCTAATTGAATTTGTCCAATTTTCCATCCGCAATCTCATAAACCAAAATTTCTTTGGCTGGCACTTTAATCTAATCACAGCTAAACATTACATCTCTTGTAAACAACACAAAATGTGTTATATGGGAATGCTGCAAGCACAAGAAAATTGAACCTACTGCAAGTTCTACTACTGAATGTTCATGGGTTATTAGATTGGTGCCAACAGCAAACTATTTTAGAGACTTGGGATGCTGTTATTTGGCTGATGCTCGTTTCTATTTCGTTTCCATTATTCAAATCTCCTCCCTGTGATATTACAGGATTGTGTTGATTGTGTTTAAATTGTATTTCTCTTAGTTTTTTCAGTTGGAAATTCAGTTGTGCGAGCCTTCGAAAGTCTGTGGGGAAAATATGAAATCAGAGCACAATTGTAGCCCCCCTCTGTCTTCCTGTTTTGTTCAACTGAGCCCTTTAAGTGCCAAGGCCTATAGTTACCAGAATCCAGGATCTGGGAGTCTTCAAATTTCCATCCAAATATGTTTGGGTGGGTTGGATTTGGCACTGAGATTAGGATCATTTGAGCCCACCCACAGACAGTACCTCCCTCTGCCCTGCTGTGTGGTGTCCTTTTCCTATCCGTGCTATAACACCACAGTGTGCCAATTTATGTTGCTGTTGCTGCCACGGAGACCGTCCTAAACAAATCTCTGGCTGGAGAGAGAGACTCATCAGAAGCAGAAGCTAGATATTTACCACGTCCACAGACAGATGCTGTGATGCAAAAACACAATACAGGCCAGAAACAAAAGTGCTTCTTTTATGCAGAATCATATTCATCACGCACTTAAGATTTAAGGTTCAAATTTCTACTTTTATGGCAGTGGGAACCATTTAAAGAAACAGAAATGTTTGGATAACACTCACAAGAAAAGAGGAAAGCTAACTCTTAAACCCTTAAAAATCCAGCTGCTGTCATTTGCTTGGCACTTGTGCAGCAGTGCATGTAGTTAAAAAAAAAAAACAGACCACATGTCAAAACAACTGCAGCAGCACGGTGAGCAACAACTGTCCAGCTGACTCTCAGTGCACTCAGCCCCAGCCTATTCATGTTGTATCCCTGAACCTGGTCTTGCAGAGCATGACTAGCAGGCACAAATCTGATGAGAAAATGTGCTTTGTATGCTCTTGCAGATTTATGTTTGCATCAATTTGCTTAACCAAATTAATAATAATAAAAAAAATCTGTTTAAATCTGTATTTAAAAAAATGTTTCCATGACTAGAAGGCTGAGTTTCTATCTGTTATTGTCACATTTATTTATTTATTTTTCATCGCTTATGTGTAGCTAATGTTTGCAGATAGCACTATATAGTATCAGAGTACTCAATCAAGCCTGCTGCTTACAGTTTACACAGTTCAGCCATCACTTGATGGAGAAAAAGCCCCCAAACAGAAGCCCCAGCCCTACTGACCTACTTCCACTTCTATAAAATATGGAGGGTCTCTGAGAGTCAACACTTGGCAAACACACCTGCTTTCAGTGCATTTTTCTGGAGGTGGTGCAACTAAATTCTCAGTCACAGCCTGTAAAGTGCAATTGTTCTTGTTTGCCATTTATCAAGTCAAAATGTTAAAAAATGTGCAAAAACAATCTATGATGTTAAACCTTGAAGCTTAGAATATGCAGTTATCTGAAAAGGCTTCAGAAATAACAAAGAGGACTGAGTCTACATCACTATTCCTGGGCTTGTCACATAAATATCACCCAACTCTTAACAATATTTCAAGAGAAGACATAACACAAAGTCTGTGGTGTTTTGTACTTTAGCCTTGTTCACACATGCAAAAGCTGTTTTTTTAAAGCTTACCTTTATCTTTTCCCCTCTTCTCAGCAGTTTTAGGACACTGAATATGGACCTTTTAAAAAGTCCTTCAGCTGCGGTTTTGGTTTGCTGTGTCACTCCTAAGAGCATGCTCTAAGCTTCAATTGTATTTTTGCATTTTTATATGGATGGATGGTTTTTCTGTTTGTTTTTTGAACAAATGTTTGTTTACATTTTTTAATATTGAAAACCCTGGTTAAACTCTCCAGGAAGTTGATTCTGATCATCTAAAACAGTGTCAAAAAGAATGGAACCAATTTTCTGAGGTATCATTATCAGGATTACGGAGCATGAATCAAAGTATCCTGGTTTAGAACATAAAAGAAAAGACTATTGAGAAGTCTCTTTTTACTGGACTGAGGCTCACTCTACATTGTAGCAGCTGTGTAGGCACTGGGGAATTCCCCAACTTAAACCTTGTTTGGTGATAAATTAGATTGTACGAGCATTTCTCTCATTGGGAGCACATACAGTATTACTCAGACTGCTGGGTCCATGTTGTAACAGTCTCTCCCTGGTAAGAGGGAAGCCCCTTCCTCTAGCACTATCAACTGCTACAAAACTTGTCTCTGCTCTTTTGAGTTTTGACAACAGATGGGCCAACGGTTTCTGTCACCTGACCCTGTCCCTCTCTGTGCTACTCTCTTGCATTCACTGTAGACCATGCACACTCAAACACACACACACACACTGAACACATGAGGAGCTATTTGCAAGCGCCAACATTTAGTGCCTCTGAGCTGCAGTAGACACAGGCTAACAAAAACAACAGATCAGTCAACTAGCTAGTCAAGCAGCATAAACTGTTAGCCTAATCCTGAGATCACGGGCACGGCTTTGACTGGGAGGTTCATTAATAGCTCCCCAGCTGACTGCATTCAAAGGAACATGATTAGCGTGTTTGAGCCTTTCAAGTCTACCTTGCAAACTTGGGTGAGGAGTCAAACAAGCTTTTGTACATTCTTCTTATTTGGCCTCAGTCTAGAGACTGTGACTCATGAGACTTATTACTAGGAAAGGATTTCACACAACTTGAAAACACACCCTGTGTGCCACAATCCTGACCTGAAATCTGAAGAATGTTAATATTTTGTCATTTTCATTATAATACAGCATCAGAGATTACTTGCTACTCTAAAAGCTGAACGTAAAAAACATCTAGTCAGCCAACTACCGCTGTCCATAAATACCAATCCCACCTGCTGACACATCAAATACATAATGAAAACAACACAACTTAGTGTGACACACATTTACTGAAGCTGCTGTTGACTTTGTCTTGCTGGCTGGGAAAGAGCACATGGATCTGCTTAGTGCACTTCTCACCATGTGATTTGCATTTCTGCAAGAGAAGCTGTAAACCAAATGAGGGGTCTTTGTTCGAACTTGACTTTTTACAAGACTCTCTCATACTCTCATACTCAAATGAGAAGCTCCTAAAAGTCATGCAATCACTCTCCCATTGCCTAAAGCGAGGAAAGGCACAATGAAGTTAAAATTTCTTGCTCTGCAAATGCTCCTCTGTTCTGAAAGCAATAAGACGTAGATTCCTCCACATACCTTACTGATGTATTGTCGACCACGCCCATACCCCAAGCCAGGATGACTGACAAGAAACAGGGTGTGGAAGAGGACCACGATGGGAGAGGCTGGTGCTACATGCATGCACACGTATGGACACCATCCTCTCCGACAAAAAATTCAAAACACCACGACTTCTTCTCTTTTCTTCTAAAAATCATTGAAAAGTTTTAAACTGCCACGCTGATTTCGCAATATAGCGAAAAGTGCGTACAGACAAGCCTCGGATATATTTCTCCGCAAGGCTTCCCAACTGCTCACCAAGCACGAAATGCACAACAGAACTGTGAGGCTGACTCATCAAAACCACAACCAGATGATATTTTTACAGCCACAGATTTACTAAAACCTCAAGTTCAAGCGCAGAAATGTACTGAGGAGCAAATACAATTAAAAACCTCATGCTGTTCTTATAAATGAAGGCATTTCTATTTTAAATGAAAAGCAAATCATGTGCATATTCTCAACTTTCAAACAGCTGAGGGACAGATGGATATTTTCAGTAAGGAAATAAAATGGGATAAAATGCAAGTCATAACCAAGTAGACAGAAATATTATTACATGAGAATTAGAGTTTGACTTCAAGCATATTCTGTTCATGGACTAGAGCAAACAGAAGAGAGAGTATTTGGACAACTCTGATTAAAATGCACCAGCAGGATCTCAGCAGCCACAAATGACATGCAAGGTGTGAATAAAATGCTGTGGGCCTGAATGTTTGATGCTGCAGCGAGAGTACCGCAGCGAGTCTACGGCAGCGCGGCGCTGAGGTCTCACCTGAGAGAGTAAGTATAGCCGGTGTTCTCTGGAGCACACTGTGGTGGCGTGTATGTGTGCAGCTGGGAAAAATCCATGTTCAGACTTCTTTGTTTAGACTGCAAGAGTTAGGATTCAAGGCAAAGGACTATTTTAGCCAAGGACAACAAGAACAGACCAACTTCACAGACACACACAACAAAATGCAAAACGCTTTGTTCAGTTTGTCTCTGGCAGAAATGATGAGCTCGAGTTGCGCCACAGCTTAACTGCATTTCGAGTACAGATTCAGAACTGCATCTACATTTTATAAAATAACACAGCACTAGCAAATTTCCTGCCTCTTCCCGAATCAATTCAAGCTCCATTCACTGGGCTGTTCTCCAAGAAAACACAACCGCCAGTAAGTGCTGTGCTGTACAGCCATGTGCGGGCAAGACCCTAATGAGAGCTGCTGGACATTCCTTTTCCTCTGGAATACAACAATACTACTGTGTTTCTGCCTGTGGTTGAGAGTTGGCCAACCTCTTCCTCCATGCTGGCTCACGCTGGTAGATGACAGAAGCTACGGACACCAGTGAAGCTGTAGTGAATGACTCGTCTCTTCTCCTCCGGACACAAAGAAAACAAGCAGCTGATCAAAAAGGCTGGTAGAGACAGGCCAAAGAATGACGATCCTCTTCCCCTTTGTAACAGGAGGACTCCTCACCAGCACAGCTACAGCTACAGTGAGCACTCGAGTAAGCTGAGTATTATGAAACCCAGTAAAACACAAAGGGGTGGGGCTGATTTATAAGGCAATGGGCGGGAAGTCTAAAGCCAAAAGGCTGGTCTTCCTAGTGAAACCTGCATTTGGCTCAAATGGATCACTTCCATGACCTTCCTAGTGAAACCTGCATTGTGTGAACTGTTGTACAAATACTTCGTTCCACATGCTCACAGTTGAAAGTTTCTCAGGTTAACCAAGGTAAGACTAATGCATTCCAACACAGCAGTTCTGCAAATATTCCTACTTTGGTGAACAGTTTGAAGAGTTGTGTATTGTTGCGAGCATGTCAATATTAAAGTGGACCCAATGTGTTCATTCCCAGCTCCGTAGCTTAGATTTGCATTATCATGCAGAATTCAAATACTGGGCTGTGATGAAAAGCTGCAGTCCATCCACGGTCTGAAACAAGCCATCTTAGCTCCATTTTTAAGCCTGCTTTCCATCAACGGCCTCACACTTGCATACGAAAGGTATGACTGGCAAGTGGGTGGGACTGCTGAGTGTCCCTGATTGCTGTAGTAGGGATATGCACTCTAAATGATATCATACAGAGCCAAGGGTAGAAAAAGCTGCCTGCAACAGAGCATTTAAGCAAGCTGAAGAGTGAGATTTTGGCTCAAATGGATCACTTCCATGACCTCATCACACAAAGCTACATGCAGAGTATACAGTGGTAGACAATATTGCCTCAGGCAGCTTTAAATGAGATAACTGATGCAATAACAGTGTCCGATTGGAGGTTTCTGGCCACAACAGAGCAACTATTCTAGATGCCACTCTGTGCATGTGGCAGTCTGACTCAAACTTCTGTTCAACAACTCAAAGACAGAGCAGCAGAATGAAACAGATGGCCATTACTAAAAACCCAGCACCAAACTCTCAACATCATAATCTTAATCATGATTTCAAATCCACATCCAAGTCTCCAAGCCGAAAAGCGGGATAAAAGGAAACAAATTCCCAAAAGCCAAGGGGACTACTTAAATTCAGCCAGGATTAGTTTTGGGTTGTTGTTTTTTTTTTTGCTTTTTTTGCAACATGTCAGCACTGCGCTGAATCATGACGCAGGCGCTGAATGTGGACACTCCGAAATTAAATACTAATCTCCCCTACGGTGCATTAATCCACCAAGAGACAAGCTGAACAGTAACAAGAGAAACCAGAGACACAAACACATGCAACACATTGACACCTTTACACCTTTCCCACAGTACTATCGCACATCTCCCTTTTTATTTTTTTTGCTGCCTCCTTTACGCAAACTGTGTGCGACGAACAGCGCAAACAGCTGAGTTCTGTGACTGCTCCAGCTACTGTCAAAACACAGTAATACACTAATACTGTTTACAGCACATGTGTACTCCTGTTCTAACTGTATTGCGCTCAGGCCCGATGACATATCAGCCCCGTTACATTCGTGCTAAATTTAGAAGCTGGATGTATTTAGACAGCGCCGTCACTGACTTACAGGCTTGTGCAACGACGCGCTAATCACACTGCTCGTCGTGCAGGTTAACTTGAGATTTATCTGTAAAAACAACACGCATTTACTGATCCCCATTAACCACAGAGAACGCGTCTAACGTCTGATACTGTCGCAGATGTAATAAAACGACCGTAGAAAATCAGGCCTAAAATTGCGCACACTGTCAAAACTGTTGGCAAAGGAGCGCAGCGAAGATCCGAATTTTAAAAAAATAAATTGCAAACACACTGTCACTAAAAGCAGTTTCTACATTAATATGATTTTCAAAGCAGCTGGTCAACTTGCCCGCGTTGTTAGGCTCCATTTATGCTGTTATTCTTTAAGAGCGTAATCCAAATGAGTAAGATTCACACAGTACTATCAGGGAACATGCGCAAACTTCTGCCAGCATCCCGACGCGCGGAACCCCCAAAAGGCTTATTTATGACTGCGGATCCACAAATCCTTCAACGCTATTTTCTCACAGAAATACGCCAAAGTTTACAAGTGGCGAGAGACTGCTGTGCTAGTGCACAACAAGCAGATTTCCAAAATGGCTTCCCGGGCGTAACAAAGCCAGAAGGATCGCTGCTGAGCTGATCCTCCCACTCCCACACCATCCATTGTCGGCCAGAGCGCACACTTTAAATCTATTGGAGGAAAAGCGGCGTTGCAACGGCATCTGCTGAGCCACTGCTCGGTGCTCCGTGCACTGACGGAGATCACGCTTTTGTTTCAACTAGAAATCCCTGCATGACACCTGCCGCTTAAAGGAAGCTCGATCCATTCATGACAGCGCTGCTGAGGCTCTCTTTATAATAATTTTGTAATATGAAGTATTAAATAAGAAAAATAAGACTCGCTCATTTTCACTGACCTCCATATAAGTTATTGTTTGCTCCATGTGAAGGGTGAAAGAGTGGAGATGAGCAGGTGACAAAAAGGAGGGGGAAAAATAGCCAATCGTGACGAGGCTGGTGAAGGAAGTGAGAGAATGCGGATCTTCACGATTATATTTAAAAGCACCAGACTTTTGAGAAGCCCCGTCTTTTTTTATGCACCATTAACAAACCTGTGAAGGGAAAGGGAAACGCTGGCACTTGCTGCTGTGCTGTTACTACAAACCCTCTAAAGGAGGATTACACCAAAGTTATTAAGGTGTTTTTGTGCATTCAGTCATGTTGAAACAGCACAATGACTAATGCCAACACAAAAAAGTGTTAGTCTGTAAATGATTAAGTGCATAAAGTCACTGCTTATAACAGCCTGCATGTCTGCACGGGTTTTCTATTCAGGATATTTCACCCTGACTAAAAGAAAGAGTCTGTATGGTTGCATGGAGCTGAATTTATCTAATCTATCTATCATTTACACAAACCAATACTATCAAGTGAAGGTCCACTGGTAGCTTGCCTCATAGGCGTAATAAAGACAGTGAGGGAATGCATGACACTTGTAGATGTATGGAATAATAATAATAATAATAATAATAATAATAATAATAATAATAATAATAATAATATAAACTCATTAAAATACTCATAACTAAACAAAATAACCCAACCACCAGCTTGTAAAGCAAATCCCACAATTTCTACATGCAAAAATCAAAGATCAGCCATTTTTATTACTTTATTGAGCCTCATGAAGCTCAGTGCTTCAAAAGTCTCATGCAGTACAAAGTTAAAGTGAAAGGGTGTGGCTCATTTTAGGCACAAGAATAAGAGAAGTGAGAATATCGCAATAAAACCTACAAATAAGTTGTAAATAACAGAGACATAAGCTTCATCACTAGTATTGGTAGCGATGAAGCTCACACTGCCAAATCAAATAATCCACTTTACAATCAAATCCGGATCATGAGTAATTACACTGCTAAGAACCTTGTTACCTTATAATTTAGCATGCGGCAAGGAGAGGAAATAGAACAGCCCAATTCACAGCAAAATGGAAAGGTTACTGTAAGGGGGATTCCTACAAATAGTCATGTTTGCACGATATATACTGTAGGTTCTCAATTTTTATAAGACAAATATCCCCAACCCAACCCCCCTTCAAAAAAATTAACAGGTGAAACCACAAGAAAGAGTAGCAGAGGACAGATCAGCCTACAAAGATCTACAAAAGGAGATATTAACAATACTCACTACTTTACTACGTAAGGCATATACTTGAGTTTATCATATGAAATTTATGCTACATTGTAATTCTACCCCATATCTCAGAGCAGAGTAATGCTTTAGTTTTATTCCAATTCTATATATATATATATATATATATATATATACACACACACACACACACCAACCATTATAAGGGTTTTATATTTGTTAAATAAGTTTTACTCTTCTCGGAGTTGTTCAGAGCCATACTGAGGATTTTGTGTCTCAACATGCCCTAGAATTATTATGTTCCTGTATGAAGCCACCAAAGTTTCCAATCATGTCCAACAGGAGTCTGGGTTAGATAAGAGAAACAGTAGACATAAAGCTAAATAATATAATGTGCAAAAAGAGGCGGTTTTGCACGATAATCACTTTTACTTTTGATTTTTTAAAACTAAAACCTACCTGTATAATGCATGTTTTGGAAGCTAGTGGCACTTATCATTCAACATCATAGTCTTATCTCTGCAGACGATAAGCTGAAAGAGAAAGCTCCCACAGAGGCATATCAGACACAAAAATCTCTTCCCCTTCTGAACAGGCGTTCTTTAGAGAGGCACCATCTGCTGGACAGTCTGCTGCACAACAACAGTGTATTCACCTTATGGGAGCTTTCGATACGATCTTATTGTAAGTTTTAGCGTCAAGGACGACAAAAGGTGGGCTCAAGAACTAAGGAGCAAGCCCACTCACTTCCGGTTTCATCATTAAATATTAATGATTAATTACTATGTCTCGTACAAGTGCGTTTGAGATCAGGAAATAGAAAACAAAACTTGTAGAAAATGTGAGTGTGGAGGACCCATGAGCAAGTCAGAAGTGGCTGTCGTAAAATAAAAGCGGTTTGACAAAAAAAGAAAAAAAAAGAAAACAAAGTCCGAGTGTCTGGCCACTTCCTACGACAACGGAAGTGTACACTTGTCAAGTCTCTCGCTTCTTCAAATGGACCTTTTCGCTCTGCTAAAGGTTTGTGGAAGTGCTGGTTTAACTACGCCTGCGTGGAAAGCTCCTGATAATATGCAGTTGGTCTGTGTTCAGTTCACGGACCAACTGCCCACAATCACCATTGTGGAAAGAAAAGAAGAAGTTAGCCTCGCTTGTCCTGATGTGAGCCTCTATAATAGCCAGTCGTGCCCACAGGCGTCATTTACAGTGCATACATTATTTGTATTATTATTTTTCTTTTACGACTAAATATTTCCCACCAGTAAAATTCTCCACAACACAAAACACCAGATGGATGCAACACGGAAGCTACCATTAAAAACAACAACAGCAAGTTTAATACTAGAGATCATCTGTGTAGCTTCCCATAAGAGCTGAGGACAGCACGCCTAAAAGCAGCACACATCATTAGCAGGGCAGAGTGTACTCACATGCTGAGAGTGACTGCGGGTTACTGACGGTAAACTCGTGGATGGTGTATTCATGCAGACGGTTTATAGCTTTCACAGTTGTACCTTCGAAAAGAGGACCCAGCTCTAACGTTCGCCTTTCCCGCACACGGTCACTTTTTCCGTTGCAGCACGCGCGTCACCACCGTCACTCCATATATGGTAAAAATGACCATATATGGGAGCCAGCTCAATCGCCCATTCAATGGGAGGTTTGAAATAGCGTCACTTAGTGGCCACGTGCGTGGATAAGAAAGTTAAAGCTGTAACATAGTAGCAAAGATTTGCCCTGTTTAGTTTAAAGGAATTAGCTTGTCAAGCAACTTACTGAGTAACTTATTAACTAAATTGGTGCTTAATACTAACTTTTTCAAGGTGAAGTGTTAGTGATACAGTTGCTTATTTAACCTAAACTGTACAACAGATAACATAAAAAAGGGGGGGAAATTTTGGTCCATTAATTTTTATATTTACTTTTAAATACTGATGAACATTAATCCACAATCTCTCTCTGTGGTCTTCCTCGTTTCCTCTAGCTCCATAGTCAACATCCTTTGTCCTGAATATATCAGATATATTAGTATATATCAGATCTGATATATGCTGATTAGATATATCACATATATTATATAT